AACAACACTGTTGAAAGACGTATTGAAGAAATGATTTCTGATATTGAAAGCTTCTTGTGTAATTATTTGCAAACAACACATTTCTCCATTCAACTGAACGAGTCAATTTTACCTGGTAATGAAGCATTGCTATTACCATATGTTCGTTTTATAATGAATGAAAAAAATTACGACGAATTGCTTTTCGCAAGAGCTTTAACAACTGACAGCAACGGCTAAACCATATTTCTTGTTATGTAGAACTACTTTATTGTTATGAAATTTTAGGCTTGGACTGCATAAATCTCTTCAAGTAGTTATTGATGCAGTCAACCGAATCCGAAGCAGCGCCTTCAATTCGGGTTTATCTGCCCAGTTATGTGATGAAAATAATCAACACTTTCATCAATTACTTCTTCATACAGAAGTATACGGGCTATCGAAAGGCTTATGATTGACAAGATTTTTTGCGCTTTTTGAGACTGTCTTAGAGTTTCTGGATTTTGAACATAAATGTTTAAAAGACAGTTTGATAAAATGTAAAACAGTCATCGCGTACTTAACGGATTTATTTGCTGTATTTAATGTGGTTAATTTGCAATTGCAAGGCAACGGTTTAATTTTGATTAAAACTAATCGATTTTAGCAGCATTTCTATCAAAACTGATGCTAATGAATGAGAATTTTCACAGTTTCCTAATTTGTCACAGACAAAGTGTCAGAAAGACGAAGTTTCAACCTATGTTGAACATTTAAAAGCCCTCTATTCTGATTATAAAACTACATTCGAAGATATTTTGTCATTGGTAATGCCAACGTGGATAACTAATTCATATGGTGACATAGAAGAAACGAATGTAATGACACAAGAGGAATTGGCCAAATTAAGTACCAATAAAGAGCTTAAGATTGAATTTAAAAAGGGATATCAAAAATTATGGCTCCAAACAAGCATACCTGTCGCTTATCCCATATTATGAAATATGGCAAAAAAAAATTTAATTTCATTTCCGTCGTCATAATTAAAAGAAAAGGGGTTTAGCTCTGTCACCAATCTACTAACGAAAAAGAGAAACAGGCTAGACATTATTGAGCGAGGAGATTTCAGATTATCTTTCTAAATTGTCGCCAAATCTTGACAATTTTCTATTAAAACATGAAATTCATCCTTCTCATTGAAACATTAATTTAAACATTAATTAAAAATTTGATCCTTATCAATACATTTACAAATTTATAAAAAATAAACAATAGGTAAGTAGGGGGACCATAATATATCGACAAGCATCGCATAAGTTTAGGAACCTATGCTTTAAAAGGAGAATCAAAATTTTCAAAATATAAAAAAGTCATTTGTTTCGAAAATTGATTTTTTTCAAGGTTTCCAAAAAAGTTTTTTTTATTTTAATTTTCGGTAAGGAAAGTTCCAGCACGAATTTCCTTAAGGCACGATGTCAAGCACCACTATTTATAGTATGAAATGTGCAATAAATCTTCTGCAATCAAATAGTAATTTTTATTTTATAAAAATGATATATATTGAATAATAGACAGAAATATATAATTTCTTTGCATCTTTTATTAATCTTTGCACAATATTTCTAAAATACGTTAAAAATTTCACTTCAAAACAACAAATGGGAAAGTATAAAGATAAATGAATTCATCTTTATACTTTCCCATTTGTTGTTTTGAAGTAAAATTTTTACCGTATTTTAAAAATATTAAACCTCTCTTAATTGATAATCGTAAGGGCCGAATTGTATGTATTAATACATACAATTCGACGCTTACGATTATCAATTAAGAGAAGTTTAAGATGCAATTTTGGATATCTTAAATAATAAAAAATCAAATTAAAATAATCTAACATAAAGTACAGGGGCGTAACGTGCCTTGGCGGGGCCCCATATCAAAATCGGTTTGGGGGCCCCCCTAAAGATTTTTCATAATTTAAAGAAACATAAAAAGATTAATAAATTCATTTAATAAAATTAAAAGAACATTTATTTATCAAATTTTTAAATATACATCGAATATTATTTTTAATATTTTACAAGTAACTAAAATTAAATATTCACTCTCCTTGCCTTTTTATCAGCAAACTAATTTATTAAGTCATTTATAGCTGATGATGTTTTTAGTTTTTCTAATATTTCTGCCTCTATGGACAATAGAGACAGGTCTGATAGCCGTTCCTGTTTTATTGATGTTCTGAGGTAATTTTTAATTAATTTTAATTTTGAAGAACTTCTTTCAGCAGTTGCGGTTGTAACTGGAAGGGTCAAGAATAAAATGCAAGCTGTTATTACATCCGGAAAACTGGATGCAATACTATTAAATTTTATTAATAATAATTCAGCGAGTTCCTTAATGGAATGAATATTTTCGATTTCTGATTTTAAGCATGCTTTTAGAGCCATCAATTGATCGCAAAGATTACCTGATAGATCTTCGCAGTATTTTGTCGTCAGTTTTCCGGAAGCAATTATTATTTCTTCATTTGAAGAAGACATGAGTTTTTCCGGTTGCAATATTCTAAAGATACTGTTTACGTCACAAAGGTTTTGAAACATTTGTTTTGTTTGAGAAATTAAAATATCTAAACAGCAATAGTACACGTTTACTTTAAAATATGATTCAGGGTCTAAAATTCTCTCGTCTTGTGATAACTCATCGAAAAATCAATTGTTATCTTCCGCTTCTTGTTTTTAAAAATTGTTTTAATATTCCAATTCTTTGCTAAATCCTTAGTATTCCTTAACAAAATAATGAATGAATCTTCATGCTTCAATTCGCGCAGACTCTTTAAAAGATTTCCTAATAGTATGCTAATTTGTTGTAAGTCATTACTCACATCCTGTAGAGCTTTCGAAATTGGATTAATAATTTGAAAAAATAAAGAAAAAAATGTTACGAGCACTAAAAAATCATAGCTTTCTAAAAGGTTAATTAAATTCTTACATCTTTTTTTTAGAAATTAAATTTAATTTATACAGAGTTTTTACTATTAATAAATAGTTTTTGCTTATTGCTAATAAGGCGTCGTTCCTTGAAGACCATCTGGTAGGGCATACCCTTTTAAATGCTACTAAATATTCCTCGGAAGAATCTTGATTTAGCATTGACCAGCGTTGTATGCTATTGCCAAAAAAGTGTATATTTTTTCGATTTAAGAAATTTTTGGCACTTTTTTTATGACTTCATCTTTTTTCTGTTCAATTTTTCGTTTCATAGCTCCGCTGGCGTAATCTCTTTTCTTTTCACTCATTGTTTTCTTTAAATCACCACTAACACTTTTCCACAAATCACCACTAAACCAAAACACTTTCAATATATAAAACCTTCGACTAACTCTGGCAATTATCATATGATTGTATTTTTTCTAACGTCTTTAGTTCAGTACCAAATGTTGTACTTCTTGTCGATTTTGGGTCAGTTGTAAAAAATATTACTTATTAAAAGAAATCCCTGCTGTTCGTTCGTCGCTTGTCAACATATCATTGTATTTTGGGTACGCATAACTGTACATTGTTTACTGAGGGTTTATCATTGATTATTGAGGGTTAAACGGGGAAACCCCGTAGGCCAAACATGCCTATAATCGATGTAGGTTGTCTCGACAATGATAATAAATTAATTTTTTGACTTTGTCGTTTGTGAAATAAATAAAAAGTTTTTCTCAATTTCTGTTAACGCTCGTTGGGGACCCCCTGGGCCCGGGGGCCCCGTATCATTGATACGGCTGATACGGCGGTAGTTACGCCCCTGATGAAGTACCAGTGTTATGTTATAGTTATGTTTAATACTGTACGTTAGAAATTACAATTGCCAACTAGCTGTAAGTGGAATTCTGTCTTAAGGCAATTAAGGCATCGTGCCTTAAGGCAAATTGCTGGAACTTCCCGTACTAAAAATTATTAATTTTTTTAAAAACAATTTTGAAAAAATAAGATTTTTGAGAAACTATATATATGGACAAAAAATTACTTTTTTTTGAAAAAAAAAAATTTGAAAAAAAAAAAAAAATTAAATTTTTTTTTTTGAAAAAAAAAATTTTTTTCTTTATTTTGACATATTGTGGAAGATCTGAACTTTTTTTTTCAAAACAATCGTACTGATTTAACTGCATAGGGTCAAAATATAAAGCGCGTAAGCGCCGCGTCGCTGTCTAACGCATAAGCATTGGTACGGAACCCATAGAAATGTTAACAAAATGTATACTTATTGTTAAAATCTTTATAAAATATCTGATAATTTGATGTGCATATGTCTGATGATCATTTTTGACCGCCAAATGGCTCATTTTTTTACTTTTTCCTCCATATCTCCGAAACTGCTAGACCTACCTTTATGAAAATGTTATCGATTCTTCATCTTGTCAATACAAGTGAAATGTTTTTTGAATTATTTAAATCGGACGCTCCGTTCTCTTAAAAACTGAGTTACCGGTTTCGGCACTTTTTGCCCCGTATTTTCGGAACGGCTAGACCTGCCTTCGCCAAAAACTAATCAGCACGTCTCCTTATCAATACGAATCGAATGTTTTTTAAATTATTCAAATCGGTTGCTCCGTGTTCCCGAAATCGTCGACGAAAATTTGTATCCGCACATACATACACACACGTACATACATACACACACACATACACACACATACACACACACACACACACACACATACATCCATTTTTTCTAAGGTATGCCAAAATGTTCAGAAACCTTTGAAACGTAAAGATATATAAAAATTTTCATTTTCGATTTTTTTGCGATTACTATAACTTGCCCTACGGGAAGTTAAAAAGCAAATATGAATATATCGTACGAAATTATGAAAATTATAGACTTAATTATTGAAGAAATTATGTTGTGTGGTAAAATCAAGTGTGATATTGTTCCTTTACAGTATATACTATATTATTTTTGTATGAATTTCTTATACTGCTTATGCTAAAATCATAAATGAATCACAAAGGCAAGGATATTAAAAAGTATAGGATAGGATTTTAAAAAAATGGCACCTTTAAATTGTAGACTTGGGTCCAGGATAAAGTCTGTCGGCTCCAATACATATATTGGATGCGAAATGAGGTGCCTTATATGCAGGGCCAGATTTAGAAAGTTGGCGCCCTGGGGCACTGACAAAAATGCCGCCCCATCCCTGAAAATTTACTTCAATTGTTTTTATATATTAAACCCGAACCAAAAATTATAATTAAAAAAAAATGTTTTTTGAAAACCTTGAGTTTTTTTATATTTCGATTTTTTTTTTGAAATTTTGAACTTTTTTAAAGCAATCGCGCTGCACAGCTAATGTATAGAGACAAAATATAGATGCGCGTAAGCGTCGCGTCGCAAACTAACAGAACCCATGGGTTACAGAACCCATAGAAATGTAAACAAAATTCAAACTTATTATTAAAATATCTATAAAATACCTGATAATATGATGTGCATATGTCTAATGATCACCTTTGACCGCCAAATATTTCTTTTTCAAATTTTATTTATTAGTTCACCGAAACCCATAAACCTGCATCCCACAAATTTAAGCAGTTCTTAATTTTGTCAATATATGTCAATTTTTTTAATGATATCGGACGCTACGTTTCTCAAAAACCGAATTACCGTTTTTAGCATTTTGGCCTGTATCTTCGCCTGGACGTCTTCAGCGAAAGTTACGACTTCACTTGGAATCATCAATAGGAATCGAATCATTCGAATCGGTTGATCCGTGTTCTCGAAATGGACTTGAATAATTAATAAAATATTATTTTGTATTGATGGGGAGACGTGCTGATTAGTTTTTGGCACAGGCAGGTCCAGCCGTTTGGAAAAATGGTAGTTGAGTTTCGATTTCCTCTCTGAAACAGCTACGCAGTTTGATTGCTTTGAAAAAAGTTCATAATTTTCAAAAAAATTTAATATACATATAAAAAAAAGTTTTATAAAGGGCATTTTTCTCATTTTTCTAAAAATTGTAAAGCTCTTTATAAAATGTAATTTTCAGTACAAGAAGTCCCAGTAATTTGCAGTAATTAATAGAACAATGCCATGCGTCACTAGTTTAATTTTTTTTTCGGCGCTATAAGCTTGGAATTTGTCATCCTAAGAGGGCTCGAGATCTGAAGAACATATTGTTCTTAAACTTTCAGCTAATTTACGAAACTTTACATTAGCCAAATTGATAATAACTAATTAACCAATTTGATAATTTACGTTCGAAGAGGGAGGCAAAGCAAAATAATAAATTTTAATAATCGGCTATTTGAACCCAAATTTTGCATTGCAATCATATTATGTTTTGTTAATAATATTTTTTGAAATAAAAAATGTTATTGAAAAAATAGTTAATTACATCGTATAGCATTTTTTTCTCACAATCCAAATTTTGCCGCCCCCGAAAATCTGCCGCCCTGGGCAGTAGCCCCGACTGCACCTACTGTAAATTCAGCACTGCTTATATGGTACTTACGTCGGTGTACATTATTTCAAAATATTTTCTTAAAAAAAATTTATATTTATTTGTAAATATATCGTTGTCATAAACTATATTTCTAAAACTTATTATATCAAAAATTTAAGCCTTACATCAAGATCAAAATAGAAAAAAAACTAACATAAAGAATTGGTTTCATGAAACCATTGTACAAATACTAAAACGAATCTTTCACATTAGATAGTAAATACTTAATAATAGAAATATCGATATTATGATATAGCAATAGTTTAAACGCGAAAATGGTTAAAACTACTACTCACAATATAAACATAGTAATGGTTTAATAATTGAATAAATTTCCGAGGAAAAATCAGAACATTTCTATAAAATTGCCTGTTAGTGAAATTAATTACCTGTGTGTAAGACCTTGGAAAGGTTTATTAAACTGTACTTTACGAATTTTAGTTTCAAATCACAAAAACATTTTCACAAAAATTTATTTTTATAGTTTTTTTCATTAATTAGATAAATTTTTCACATTACAAAGTAAACAAATGTCAAAAACAGCTGTTACCAAAATAAGAGTTTCGAGAGTGTGCTTTTATGGAGTAGTGTTAACCAACACTCAAAAGTGAAATCCTTACGTCAAAAGAATCTGTGTCATTTTGCTTGAAACAGATTGAATACTTTTTAAAATTAGTCTTTTGATTTCTATTATTTATATTGTATTAATTTTTATTTTCTATTACTGTATTATCGCGTGTTAAAGGCAACACTGAAATCTACTATTGTACGCAGCTGTTCGAATGCAACCTCTTTCCTATTAATTGTGTTTTAAATATAGAATTGTGTTCTAGAAAGTAGAAGTTAGGTATATTTATATACTAAAGTTATAACATACTTTTGAGAAATGTAGAATTTAGGGCAGATAACTTATAGATAATTTGCGATAAACTTTTATGTGAAATTGTTCAGCTAGCTGTACCCTGTCATGTTTTGCTGTGGCACATTGTGATTAAACGGTTGAGAGATGAGAAATAAAACGAAGTATATATTTTATAAAAAATTAATTTTGCAATATTTGTGGATACACAATATTATTTGCCTTTCAACTCCTTGTATATATATAAAGTCTATCTGGCTTTCCAAATCGAGCACATAAACAAAAAGTTGACCCTGAGAAAAATAATCCTGATCTATTTTCAAGCAATAATTTGGATTTAAAGATGTATTTTATTGATTTACAAGAATTGTAATATTCAATGTTTATGTGGGCTTAATATGTTTTAGATAGCAAAAGATAGTATGGAACTAGACAATGGTTATCAACAACTAAACCAAAATCTCCCCACTAAACCAAAATCCGTAATATTTAAGCAATTTTTTCTAAAAAGAAAATTACATTTGTAAGTCATTTTTATGTAATATTAGTGTGAGAAATATGTGATACTTATGCCTATTGTATGTAATGTAGATTATGTAGCATGAATTATGAATACGCATATAGACACATCTGTATATACGAACACACACATACATGAACTTAAGAACGCATCCAGTATAGAAATATGTAAATATGTAAAAAGATATTTCTATGTTTTATAAAATAAAAATGTCATAACAATAATAATTGTTTTTATCAAAAACTCATGGCCTCTTTGTTTCCCACATTACAAATGCATATACACACATAGTATATATATATATATATATATATATATATATATATATATTCAATAGATAAGTCCTGGATTTTTTCAATATATATATATATATATATATATATATATATATATATATATATATATATTATCTTGATATTGTTTGTTTCGACTTTGAAACATTATATGATACAGTTTTCGACTTGTGGCTGCAAAACTGTGTCATATATATATATATTATATAAAATTCTTCTGTAATTATCTATGAATTGATACTCCTCCTGAATGGTTATTCGGATTTTATTAAATCTTTATAGGGAATTATGAAACTATAGTAATATTGTAGAAATAAGTGGAAAAAATTGCAAAAAACAACATACTGACACATGAGAACTGTCATCTGCCAAAAATGTCGGTTTACTTGAAATTTGAATTCAGTTTGTTTAAGCGAGCCTTAGTTGTAATATTCATATTCATGATTATAAATAAGAAAAATTTAATATCCACAATATCACTGCCGAAAACCAGCTGAGATGTGCCAGAAATTAAAACAATATATGTTTGGCAGTATTTTAGTTTAATAAATAACACAATACTTCCAAAATTGCATATACATTATTTTTTTAAACTTATGCATGTTGTATTTTGCTTTACTTTACTAAATTATTTAAATACAAATGAATATTTCTTCTTATTGAAAAAATTATTTAGAATTTTGTTTCTTAGATTGAACAGTGCCATATGAACTAGATTTTACAAATTAATTTACTTTAGATTTAAAGTATAATAATGTTTACTGAATTATTAGTAAGAAATTGTAATTGTCGAAAAGCAACTATAGGGTACTCTATTATAAAAATTACCGTAGATAATATATTTAATCTTTCTTAATTTCTTATACTGATCAAAAAACTGCATTTTTCAATACGCATATAGCTTATGCTAAGACAATAAAGAAAACACAATAAACAGAATATTATAAAGTATAGAAAAGGATATTAAAAAACTTGGAACTTTAATTTGGTACAGGACAATGTCTATCGGGTCATCTCGTATATATATATATATATATATATATATATATATATATATATAAGTATATATATTAATATAAATTAATATTAATATATATTTATATATATATATATATATATATATATATATATATATATATATATATATATATATATAGAATTTTATGATATGAGTGGAACATTATATAAACATCATTAATAATTTATACATTTTTTCATTTATCTTATTCTTTTCAATAAATTAATTTGTTTTTTCATTTTTATCGATTTTTGTATGCGATAGCACTCCTTTTGTTTACATTATAATGATACCCATTCTGTCTCCATCTAGATAAGTACTTCAAATTTGTTTAGAATATTTCTGTAAGTGTTATATGTTTCTTTAGTACTGTGTCAAGCATTGCAAGGAATAGTTGGTGTTTTTTGTATATCAAAAATTAAATGAAATTTAAATAAATTATTAAAGAATGTGTAGTATATAAGTAACTGTTTTTGAAATTACACTGAAGATGAGACACACCATGGTCTCGAAACATCTGTAATCATAAAATAAAGTTGTGTTAAACAAATCTGAGTGCTGTTTTGTTCATATTAAACAATTAATATATATATATATATATATATATATATATATAAATATATATTAATATTAATTTATATTAATATATATACTTATATATATATATATATATATATATATATATATATATATATATATATATATATATATATATATATATATATATATATTAGAGATGGTAACTCACTCCGGAGTTATCACTCCGATACAACTCCTCCCTCGGAGTGAATCCGAGTGGAGTTGTTTCACAGGATTTGTCATATCCGACTTTCCTAAACTGGTATTAAATCTGTTAACTCGTGTGTTAATTTACTGTTTTTGGCATTTTTGCTTTGGGAAGAAATAGCGGTCGCTTTCTCTTCTGAGAGGCAGTTTTATGACCTTTTAGGTATACGTTTTTTTTCAGAAAATACAAAAATATTACTTCAAAGATACAGAACAATGAAATTGTGTTCAAGTGTGAATAGCTCAAATATATAATTTATTGAATAGTAAGGGTCATATTTCTACCTACGACGATCTTACCGAAAAATACACGAAACAAAATACATTTAATCTGGTTTTTCTATAGCCTGAAATAACAACACTTTAGAGTGCAAAATATATCAGTGACGTTAATAGTATTTAAGCAGCAAAAAATATATAGTATTAAATTTTTCTTAAAAGTAATGTGCATATGTAAAGTAATAATATGCTAATCGAACTACCCGATATAATATTAATTCTCGGATGGAAATAGCAGAAGAAAAAATTAGAATTCAGAAGTATTATTATTTGGTGAAAATATTTTATGATAAATGTTTTGCTTTTATTACAAAGTTTACTACATTGCTTTCATATAAAATTAATCAAAATTATCAATTATTTTCACATCAAAAGAAAATATTTAAATTGAATTTGATTCTCAAGTTTTCACTTTGGTCAGCACTGTTAAAATTACGAGTCATTGAGTCGATCATGTGGTCGACCGAAAAATTTTACAACTCGTCATTTATTTGTGAATTTTTTAGAAAAATTATTTTATTGATATTTTATTTCATTCATAAATTTCCATTTCAAAAAATTAAATGGGATTTGACAAATTCTTAAATGCATAAACAACGCACTATAGAACACATTTGTGTCGAGTATTTCGGTTTCAAAGTTGTCGGAGTCGTGGAGTTGTTAATCGGATATAACTCCTTCCTGAAGCGGAGTCAAATCCGAGTCGATCCGGCTTCGGATATGATAAGCCCATCTCTAATATATATATATATATATATATATATATATATATATATATATATATATATATATATATTAAAACGAGCGTGTTGAGTCGGGCAATATCACCAAGCAAAAAAAAAAACAAAAACTAAAGCAACTATGAAATCAGCTTTATTAATCAATATGTTTCAGTATTCATCGAGACCGTCATTCAGTGGAAAACTAGAAAGTTTTTTTTTATAAATAATTTAGAATAGAATATGGACACAAACCATTGTGTTCACAACAATTTTTTTAAAAATGTTCAAACTGGTAAAAACATATGGTTTCGGAAAGTAATAAAAAAGAAACACGCTTCATTCAATAATAATGTTTGAAAGTTGGTTGAGGAACATCTTGTAGACATTACATAGCGAATAGTTGTCAAGTCTCTTGTTGATTGCTTTATTGTTTAACGATATTAGATAACCTTTCACTAAATATTCTTTTATATTGGATTCAAAATATCTAGTATACTCAGGGGTTTAGGAAATCAATGCTATGCTGAAGGTTATTTATGTATTCTGTGAGCATTGTTTCATTCTGATTCACATTTTTTGAATTATTTCTTTGTTGAGAGATTCTTTTGTGTAGATTTTGGCTAGTTTCGCCAATGTAAAACCCTTGGCAACTTAGACAATTTAATTTGTATACTAAATTACTTAAAATTGTCAGATCAAATTTAGATTTTAATTTAGTAAATAATGTTGAAAGAGCGTTATCTGAGGTAATACTATAATAATATGTTTAACGAATAGTTTTTTCCGTGCGTAGTAAAGGTCGTTTATAAAGGGTAATAGTGGTAAAAAGGTAATTAATTAATGTTTGGAATGAGACAATGCGTCCATCTGCCCTTCACTGCGACATCCCACAGTTGCTGTCATCAGTCAATGCTGTTCTGCCGTTCTTCTAATCTCAACTTTTCAGGACTCAGTTGCTGATATCTTCCATGGTAAATTGTCCGTATTTCCTTTGCTAACACTAAGAGAGGCAGAGTACCTGAAATGACGCACACTGCTTCCTCCGATATTGTGCGAAATG